GGTGAACAGGAAGAAGCTAAGCTGGCTGAAGGTTCCCTCAACATTTGAAGATGGAAATAGTTATTTTTCTAACTTTCCCCAGATCGTTCCTGGTAATGTTCTTGATGTTACAATGATGTTTGAAGAACTCCTATTTCAGTAAAAGTTTATTAAAAATTATGCTGAATTATTCGAATCAAACAAGTAGTTCGGTATTTGTAAAGTTGTTTCTGACTCAAGGGAAAAATGATTTATAAAGTAACTTAATTTGCACATTTTGAAGTTGAATTTGATTCGGTCTACTTAAAAACTAAATCAATATGATATAACATTATCAAAGATAATAAGCAAATAAGCTACAAATAATAAGATTTGTAAAGCCATATGATTTTTATGTTCCTTAATTAATCATTCTTTATTTCTAGAGCTCACTTCCGGCTCTTTTTTATTGATAAGTGCACAGAGAAATTAACAAAAGACACTACAAATATCAAGATATGTAACGCTTCACGATTTTTGAGTGCTACAATTTATCGTGCTGGCTTTCTTTAAATATTATTGAAAATTCAGAGAAGGAGAAACAGAGCCCTTATTACCTAGCCGCTCTTTTTAATGTAGTGCTAGATCTGTCTGTCTTTGTACGTCCTTGCACATTCTATGTTTACTAACCCATTAAAGAGCTTTATATTTAAGGTATACTCTCCATGATTTCTAATTTGTGGGACTAAATGTCTCGGACTACGTCACTAGCTTAAACATCTCTAGCATAAGGCGTTACGCATCTTATATAAAAATTCCTAAGCTTGTGACCACACCTAGTAGGAAATTGTATATATTCTAGGCAGCAAGCATTCCATAACTATTTATTAATACCTTCAGTTGCTCTAACCCGACTAAAATCCCTTCCATTCTGCTTTTCCTGATATTACTAGATCCATTTCTAGCCCCAACTGGGGCCGCCCCATTTCCCCTGCCCAAGTGTGTGAACCTTGTAAATTATTATTAAGTGCTTTTCATTACCAGCTTGCCATCATCCAATAACCAAAACGAGGCGAGAAGGAGCTCGGGTTCCCTGTTCCCCATTTCCTGTTTGTAGACTTGAGCGGCAATCCGTCAAAGTCAAAATTGCGACAGTGGAAATGATAATACTTCTGCAGCCTTCAGTTGCAATTTGTTTCGGCAGGATGGGGCAGGAGGTATGTGCCACCATCTGCCCATCCTTCAGTTAGATAGAATCCTGGGGCAAGAGATGAGGGGAGTCTGTGGAATGCCTGCTGGCAGGACGGAAATAAATTGTTATTAATGTGCTTGCTTGCCTGTGGCTGCTCTGGTTCTCTGGTTATGGTCTTGGTTCTTGGTCCTTGGTCCACACTTCATACTCCGCTTTTGCTGCCACCAAGAATCCCGCCCAGTCGATAAATTATTTTGGCGAAAAACGCGCGCCAAATTGTAAATATCTTGATGCGGAGGCCGAAAGCCCCCAATAATGTGAGCCAATTTAATGGTCTGGCCACTTGTTGAGGAGGCATCTTTCAGCCGTAAACTGTTTACGGCCAGAGCTCAAATTGATTTGTGCCCAGCGCGAATCAAATCAATTGCATTTGCCAATGGCGATGGTGACTCCAAAAGGTAATCATAACTGGAACGGGCTGATGGCCCACTGACTTCCTTTTGCCTGGTAATAAAGCGGAAACGGTCCTGCGAGTGCCGCCATAAACGTTGAGATGAGCACAAAACGGTAGGGATGTCCATAAAAGGAAACAAAAAAGAGAACACACCGATGAAGCAAGGACACCCACCGAGTTCCAGGACTCATTCGCATCTCGGCATCCGCAAAAGCCACATCCAGAAGGAACCGCTATCAAGGCCACCAAACGAATGACTCCGTCTCCGCCAAGGAATCCTTCGCAGGACACCCCGAGGCCTCGTTAAATTGCGTGCAGCATCCGCCCACCATCCCTACACGGAGCGAAAAAAGAGCAAACTAAAAAGGGGAACAGCTTGCAGCTTGCATATCATTACAAAAGTTTTGTAATTGCTAGATTTTACTTGAAAAAGAAGGGGAGGAAATTGGAAATCATTATTCCATACTTGGGGGTTAAACTGGGAATAACTTTGTTAACACTATCGATAGTACTTAGTGCGGCTTTTTAATATAATTATTGCAAAACTATGACGAATTTAAAGCCTCTTTCCTAGCGTGAGTTTAGTTAACGTTCACGGATTAATAATGTTTCCTTAGTTTGTTTACAATCGATTTGCAAGTGTTTTCATTTTACTAAACACTTGTGGTCTAAGGACATTTCTTTTAGCCATCTTTATAGGCTAAAATTGCACCAATTTTGAAGTTAGTTAAGGTATTTTAATATATATATTTAGAAATCCATATAAAGGAAACCACTCCTTAGGTGGTCTTATTTTCTGTGTGTTTGCCAAGAAAATTACTTTATTTTGTGACGATTTCTGCTGCTGATGTCTGGACCCACACACAAGAGGGGAGCTAAACTTTATTTTTCTGCGTGATCCGAGGACACTCCTCCAACCGAACCTCTTCCCAATCATCCCATCCGCCATCCCGTGGCGACTGTTGTCGTTTATTTGCATTTGACTGTGCGCAGTGGGCAAAGTATTCAAAACAGATTTGTTGGCCAGATTGTAGAGCGCTAACAGTTCATTACCCAAATGACTGTTGGGGCCAAAAAGGAGGGAAGCGAGGTGGATGGGGCGTCAGCGATTTTGGCTGAAAAGGTTTCATTACAATTTCGGGCACTCGCCGAATGGAAAACTTTTCCCTGGATCCTCACCCAGCTCCCTCCTCTCCTGCTGTAGTTTGTGAGATTTGATTTAAAAGTTGAAGCCGAACCTCCTTCCAAGGAGTGTGAGGAGGAGTCAAGGGAATTGCTAACTTTTTAATAGTTATTCATACAAAATCATTTACGAGTGCCCTGCACAAGGCACACCAACTCTCCAGACCCGAGGAGCATATGTGTGAAGGAAATAAGGAAACTTTTGGTGGAAAGTTTGCAAGGTTTTCCCCCCAGCAGCGAAATAATTATGCAGCTTCTTATAACAACGCCACTCTTTGACTCTTGCACCTGGCTGACCGATGATTGAGTGGTTGGTTTTCCCTCCCTCGAAACCAAATCCTGATTGATGAACACTCCACCAGGTGAGTCTCTCAGTGTAGTGTCTCACCTGAGATAATACTGCCTGTCCTCCTTCATGCCATCCGGTAGAACCATTTAATGAGAAAATAACTTGGATGCGGCCATAAATTCATTTCCGCCCTTTGTTTAATTTCCTTTGCTATCCGAAAAACTTTTCGCTACGCGCGAATTCATATGTAATTACAATTACGATGTAATCTCGGCGAAAGAGAGGGGACAGACTCCACCTTGAGGTGAGGCACCTGCCCCTGTTCCTCCCCTGACGCTCAGGTCAGGGTCATGGTCGAGGTCGCACTGTGGGCGCTAAAGTTCGCCGCTCGTGTGGCCCCACTGTTGGCAAAAAAGGTGGCTCTGAATTGGCGCAAAGTTGATTCAATTAAGACTTCTTTCGCATGGCAATCGATAGACATCAAAGAGCAGGTACAGGTACACATCCAGGACAGCCAGGACACCTGGCTTTGTGCCTCTGTGCCCCCGGGGCCAGGCCTCATTTTCAGCCTGTAATTATAAAATCAATGCCAGTTGTTTAGTACAAATCACTTTCAAATGTCAGTCAATGAACTTTTTCAAATGTTTCTCACTGTTAACCTCATTTCTTGTTGGTTTCTGTTCTTTATAGGGCATTATAATGTAAGTCAGAAGAAGTCATTTACGACTTATATTGAAAGAAAATATCGTAAAACATTTATGGACAAAGATATGGCAGTCAATCGCATTTAAAATATCATATACTTTGATTCATTGAAATGTTGAATATCGAAAATATTTAATGTAATGTTAGATATATCTAGATATATATATATAATATATATCGTTAATATTGAAAAATATCGGTAAAATGTTATATCAAACAGCTTATCGATTAATCGAATGACTTGAGCGGAAAATATCGATACAACATCAATATATCTGTATTTTAGTGATTTTTCGAATTTTCAACAGTTTTTTAACAGCTAAATCGAAAACTATAACTTTAAGACGTAATAAAAATGGAAGATATAATCGTTGTTTATCATCAAATAAATTTATAGTTTATTTTATAATATATTTATTTATTTACATTCTGTATGCCCACAATTAAAACTAAAGCTACAGAGGGAGTAGTGCTGTCATAGCTACCTAGGCCTAAGACTTTATAATATATATTTCAATCTAAGATATACCAATTTTATAAGTTTAAAAATAATATCACTGAAGTTTTATCAAACCCGACTTATTATAAATAGTATATTATATATATATATATAGTATTATGGTATAAATGTTTTATGCATTTCCTATTAGTTTTATCTGTCATTTAACCAAAATGGATAGTTCTCAATGATCTAAATTTAAACCGCAAGGTTTTATAAACATCGGCCTGGATTTGTTTTTTTTTAAACCTATGTAACATTCAAGGGTATACAAACTTCGTCTTTTTAAAGTGAGCTTTCTGTCCTTTTGAAATTATAACGATTGTTGGATAAACTGCTGCTTCTTTGAGCCATGGAAAATCGTATTAACTATTTATGCGGTAATTTGAGTCAAGAAAACATGTTATTTTGAATGCACTCCATCGGTATATCGGTATAAGGAGAACTTAAAGGCACTTTACATTAAGCTGTGCTGAACTTTAATATATTATATATATTTATTTCCATAAATACATAAATAAATGTATATGAATTTAATTAAGTAAAGAGTTCCTTCTTCTTATACTCCTGGTTGTATTGTTTTCAGTTCTCCAAGTAACACAATGCAGCTTTGCATTATTTATTGTACTTCAAACAGCTCACTTAATATTAACATTAATCAGTTTTAAATTTTAATAATTTTAATTGCTAATTTCTTTGACAATTATGATTCCAGGAGTATATGCCTCAGCTGGCGGGCATTGGTCTTTGCGTTGTCAACTTAATGGACGACATGCAGGAATATACGCGAGGACTCTTTCTCCTAATGTGAGTGCCAAGTAAAGGATACTAGTCCTGGAAAGATATCCTCTGACATGTTTCGATTTACAGGTACTGTGGCCCGGCTATATTGCTCTCCTACCTGTACATTCGCACCTCGCAGGAGCTGCGTCCGCCCGAAGGACCTTTTGCTGTGATGATGTACGAGCATCGCGCGGATTTAAGGATGCGCCAGAGGTAAGTTTCACCATCTTTACCCACCTTTACCCAACTTTTGATTAAGATAGAGCTCCTTCTGTCCACTAATTGGGCTGATTAATTCGGGGATTCACCAATCAGTTGGGGGGAGGAGCAGCGCTGGTCTGTCCAGGTAACTGGAGACCAACGCTAATGAGCCTTAGCATTTCTGGAGGCACACTTCTTTAACGAGTTCGAATTTCTTGAGTTACTCTTCCACTTTATCGGGTTGGAGAAACTTATCCTTACCTCTCCGCCTTGACAGGAACTCATCCACATCTTCGGTGGAGCCGCGGCAGTTGAGTGGCGGTGGTGTTGCCGGTCTGAGCAATGGTGGAGGAAGCTCATCCCGTTCCTATGATCTCTACAGCGCCGAATTGGATGTCCATCGGGAGAAGCGAAAGCAGCGTAATTTTGGGAGCATGGCCGCCACTCAGGTGGTGTGCATGTGTCCTTTGATGATCCTTAGATTTGCCCGTCTCTCGCTGGAGGAGACCTACGAGAACATGAAGCACTTTGATTTCACCTACCTGATGTTCGTTTGGGTGGCCTTTCTGCCCACCGTCATCTTTCCTTGCATCTATGCCTCGCAGATATTGCCCAGGTGAGGATAGATTAGAAGATCGAATCCTTAAATCTAAGGACCATCAAGGTCTTACCTTCCTTTATCGCCTTTGTTGTTCTTTGTTTTTATTTTTTGGTAGAGATGAGCAAGAGCGTCTAAGGGGCTACTTCCGGCTCTCATCGAAGAGGAAACAAAAGACGCAGCGACGAAGTGATGCCACTGGCGGTTCTCGCGAGGATTCCATAGAGAAGGATGAGGCCTCCAATACGACCAGTGCCCACCATGCCGCCTCCAGTGAGCACGGCCAGAAGCATGCCCCCAAGATGCGTTACGAGCGGGAGAGGCAGCAGGGACATGGCTCCTCCTCCTCGGGCGGCGATCGCTACAGTGGAGCACCCTATCGACAGGGCAAGGATCGGGACAGGGACAGGGACAGGGAAAGGGAGAGGGACAGAGATAGGGATAGGGAAAGGGACAGGGATAGGGAAAGAGAGCGGCAAAGGGCAGGAGGACGTGGAGCAGGCGATGCCGGTGTGGTCAACAATCTGGGCAAAGATGTGCGCGGCAAGAAGCACGATGTCAAAATCAACATCATCTCGGATGGAGGCCATGGAGGCGGTGGCACCACTACCACCAGTAGCACCACACACGGCCATGGACACCGCAAGCAGGCAGTGAGCAGCAGCAGCAGCAGCAACAACCACCGGAGTCGCAACAATCCTGGACAGCGTCCACATGGCAACAAGCTATCCGCCGCCGCTGCCGCTGATGGTTTGTCCAATGTCACCGCCTCCACATATTGCAATGGTAACGGCAGTGCCACGGGCAATGTCCTCATCCCGGATGACAGCAGCACCAGCAACTATGGCGATGGCGAGGAGAGCTCCGTGGTGAGCAGCATGATGGTGCCGCCGCAACGCTGGCCGGGATCGGGCTCGGGAGCGGGACAATTGTTGCGACATAAGGACGTCTCCTTCAGTGAGTGCAGCAGCAGCACCTTCTCGTCGAGCACCCTGGACCGGGATCTGGAGATCATGGACCAGCTGGAGCGGGAGCGCAGCATGGATATCCAGGAGATGCTGCAACGTGAGCGGGAGCGGGAAAAGCTTCGTGGTGGCGTTGGTCGCCAATTGCCGGACATTGAGAAGCTCTACGCTCAGCGTTCGCCCAAAGGTAAGCGGGGTGAGGCAGCTGGAGCTGGACTTGGAACGGGTCTGGCCCTGGTCATGCCCGGCAGTGATCCTTTGAGCAGCCTCTCACAGTCCCAGTCCCTGTCCACGGAGTACAGTCTGTGCTCGACACTGGAGCCTCCTGGCTCCGTACTTCCCGAGGAGGAGGTGTTGCGCCAGCAGCATCTGGAGGAACTGGAGGAGGAGGAAGTGGTGCCACCGGATTTTTACGATAGCTACACTCCTGGTGGGGCACAGAATCTGCCTCCGAGCTCCGCTACATCCGCCGCCGCTGCCGCTGCCGCTGCGGCTGCTGCAGTTGCTCCGCCCGCCTATCAGTATCAGTACAGTCGCAGCCGTTTGAGCCGCAAGAGCTCCGGCTCTGGATCCGGCCATCATAGTCACGGCCGTGTGGGCACCGGCCATCATCATGGCCAGCATGGCGGAATGGGTGCAGGAATTGGACGTGGCTCCAAGCGGGACAGCTTCAACTCGCTGAATGGCACCGATCTCATTGCCGGCGCCTTCTGCGAGCTGGATCCAACGCAGCCGCTGAACAAGATGGCCGTGATCGAGGGCAGGATGCGGCGGAGTAGTCCACGCAATGCCAGCTTCAGCTCCGGCTCGGGCGTATCCGGACGGAGTTCGATGAAGTCATCATCGCGGGACTATGACTACGGTCATGGCTCGTCCTCGCACTCGGCGCATCCGGAGCTGGACTTCAGGGAGAACATATTTGCGGAGCTGTAAGTGGGTTTATATAGAAGATATATCTCAAGAGATCTCTAGAGATCCAGGTAGAGAAAGGGAGAGAAGGAAACGAAAAGCTTTAGCATGTTGTTTGTTGAGGGCAGAAGCAGTTTTTCAGGACACACAGGACTCCCAGGATTTTGCAGCTGGATGTGTTGTTTGTCTAGTTTTTTTTTTTTGTAAGGATATAGAACTTGGGAACTGAGGATTTAAATAGCATTAGTGGCCAAATGGATGGCACAGGATGCAGGCAAGGCGAGGAACACAAAGTATATGAAAATACAACTAAATCAAAGAGGGTATAAGGATTCTCTTCTCTCTAAGGATATTCTCTATAACGTCCTTGCCCAAATCCAAAAGTAACAAAGTAAAGTAATTCACAAAGCTAGTTATTGGATTAATTGAACCAACTGGTTGTTTAATTAATGATCAGTGATCAGTCCCCACACAGATCGGGGCTGGAGAAGAAGATTTTGTAGAGCTAAAAACAGCTCGAAAGAAGATTGTGCCAAGGAACGAACATAATCCCGGATATATCTGGGGATTAAACATACATACATATATATACCGATAGTATATATACATATATATTGTCTTTTAAATGTTTGCTAAACTAAATTTGTCACAGGCCAAGCTAGTCTTTTTTAAAGTTGAAACTTTTCCAAAGCTGCATCATACATACATTACATATATATGGTTATATATATGCGATATGAAAACATATAAATGTATACACTACACATATGCTAAGACATATTATTAAATATTAACAAATCAAATGCAAAGTTTATTGAATGTTAAATCAAATACAAGAAATACCAAAAATACCATGAAAATACCAAGAAAAATACCTTTAAAAATACCAGGCAAAGCATAAAACAAACCAAGTTGTAGCTCTTAAGACAGAGAGCAATTCTTCTGAGCCCCAAAGAATTGCGCCCACACACACCACAGAAAGACACGAAGATTTTGTTAAAATATCAGCTATAAAATATATACTATTTACTATATTTACTATATATATAGTACATGTGTGCGTGTGTGTGTGTGTGTATATAGCATAAGTTAATTTTTTCTGTGCCCGTTTGTTGTGGAATTGTGGATTGCGGATTGTGGCAATGTTTGGTGTGAGCGAAAACTAATAAAAACAAATTTTATGTGAGTTGAACACACAAAAAAAGCAAGCGAATCTCTGCCTGCAGTGCAGGCTCATTCACTACCACCACGACGCGTTTTATTTCTGGCCAAAAAATGGGTTGGTTTGTTGGCCAAGTCACCAAGTCCCAGGGCGAAGCACCTCGATAAAATCCGTGCAAAATGCAGGGCGAGGCCGGAAAATAATTCGCAGCGCTATAAATGCGAGCGCCTGGGGAGAGAGCATTGGGGACATGGAGCCTGGGGGGGAATCCCCCCGGGGGTGGTGGCCGAAAAGGAATAGGGTCAGTGAGCGAGTTCAAAAGTTCAGCGCGGGGTTTAACAGCCCCGAAAACACAGCACAGCTTGGAGCTCGCAGCTTCTCGGATTCGGATACGGATTCGGTTTCGGTTTCCTCGTGACCCCCGTGACCCGTGGCCCGTGGCCCGCGACCCGTGACCCGTGACCTGACCCAGTAAAATGATTAAGTGCCGTTATTTAGCAGCTGGCTAGATTTACTTGGCTTCCCAATGCGAGTCCCACATCCAGTTTGTCTCCATTTGGGCTCATCTCCTGCATCCCCCCAGCCTTTGTTGCCCATTTCTTATGTCCTTTTTTTGTGCATAATTTGTGCTGTTTATTTTGATGGCTTATAGAGAGGGAGCAGCAGGATAATCGTAAAACGACAAGCATTTCGTTTGGAAAAGTCAACTTTAATGGAGAAAACACGCGCGGAAATGTTGAGGGGAAGAGGCGGATACATAGGAATCTATTGAAAAAACAGGGGCGTGGCAAGTTCTCTATTTAAAGTTGAAATACATAAAATGATTAGAAGATTAAGTTAATAGGAGTATAAATATAAGCATTTGCATAGAAATACCTTTTATTTTGACTTAAATAACATACAAAAAATCATAAGAGCTCCCTCAGAGAATAATCCCCCTTCAAAGCCTTAGTTCGTATAAGTATAAGTATTAGGATTTTTATAGAATAACCTTTTATTTTCCATTAAAAAAATATACCTAAAATTATAAGAGCTGCTACAGAGAAGGATTCCCCGCATAAACATTAGAAGAACCTTCTATTTTCCCTTAAAAAATATAACAAAAATCATAAAAGCTCCTGCAGAGAATGAACTCCCTTCGAAAACTTAGTTTGTAGGAGCATGAATATTAGTATTTGCATAGAATAATCTTTTATTTTCCCCTTAAAAATTAACCAAAAATCACAAAAGCTCCCTCAGAAAATGATCTCCCTTCAAAGCCATAGTTCGTAGGAGCATAAACATTAGAAAAACCTCCTATTTTTCCTTAAAAATATATACCAAAATCATAAAAGCTTCCTCAGAGAATGATACCCCTTCAATAACCTTTTAGTCTACCCCAAAACATATGCCATAAGCCTTAGTTCGTGGGAGCAGAAACACTAGAAGAACCCTCTATTTTCCCTTAAAAAATATACCCAAAATCATAAGACCTCCCCCAGAGAATGATCCCCCTTCGAAGACTTGGTTCTACGTCCCTGAAACCAACAATTCCCTTTCCTAGAGAAGCTATAGAAGGAATGCATCCCCATGACGGACCCAAGACTGTTTAGAAGAAGTTATGGGGATTGCCCAAAAGAGAGCATTAGGCATTAGCAGAAACCCCCTCTTTGGGTCACTTAAAGCAACCATTGGACACACCGGCAAATACAACTTTCGGTTGCGCTTTCAATTACATGAGGAGCGTAATGAAATGCCGCGCTAAATAAATTTATGATGATCACGTATACGTATCACGTATACGCAGGTAAGGTAAGAGCGCTTAAGCTGCCATTACACTAACCACGTCTCTGTGTCTTCATGGCTTTCATAATCATTGGGCCGGCCAAATCGCCATCAAAACTGCATTCCAATTGAGCCAATTTCTGGCAGTAGCCACAGTTGGCCTTAACCCCGCTGCCGGAAATGGACCAGTTTTCTTTTTCGCAACATTTACACGGCAAGAAAATGGTTATCATCATTAAAAGTAAGTAAGTATTATATCTCAATGAGTATCATTTAATTTATGCCTGTCTTTTATATCAACTTTCCTCGCAGTGCACGCTTGGTGCGGGGGAGGGTAAAGCCTTCTTGGGGATTCCCCTCACGTTCCTATAAACAACGTTTTATGCCGGTGTTTATGTTTAGTTTCTGGCATTGCCACGGGGATCCCTCAGCGGGGGAGGGATTGTTATGTAAGTGCCAAAGAGCATATTCAATTTGAATTGGAATCGGAATTGCCAACTCCCTCCCCCCAACCCCATCTGCATGTCACCCTCCTGTGCTTTTTCGTGTTTACTTCTGCTTTTCAGCGAATGGCTGTTATTGTTATTATTGCTTATAACCTTATTCCATATTCCGAACGCATGTCACCATTGCGATGGAAAAGTTTAAAGAAAGTTATACACCGAAAGGCCAACAAACAAAACAAAGTCACAAAAAATTTAAATAAAAATACAATTATGGTGTACTATAAGAATGAAAATAATGCAAAATAATGGCGGAAACAGATGAGAATCCATTAAAGATCTTTAAATGCTAAAGAAATGTACAATTCTGACACAAGATTGATTTAACAGAGGAAGTAAATGCAAAGCTAACTTGAAGATAAAGATTTAAACTCTTTGAATTCTTAGACTTTTCACTTTTCACCTTTACTGCAAAGGATTGGTATATGGAATAGTGAATATTTTTTTTGCTGAAATTAACAATTTTACAACTTAAACAATGGAGCCCCCTGGTAAGTTGTGTATAAAACCAGCTGACAATCGGCCTGCGCTGCACAGTTGACCAACGACTTTTGAGGCAATAAGTAGCCACGGGAGACGCCAACCGACACGGTCCCTAAGTTACCACAGCTTTCAGTTCAGTTTTTAGTTCCTTAAACAAAATACAAAAAAATATAAGAAATATGCTTGCCGTGGCCTTGACGATGGCTGCCTTGGTGCTGGCCAGCCAGCAGGATATCTGTGGGGCGCAGCTGTCCATCCACACGGACAGCAACACGAACTCGTTTAGCCTGAAGGCTCCCGGTTTGCAGCAGACCTTCACCCGGTATTATGGAGGTGCCAGGACGCAGCCACAGGAGGCAGAGCAGCCGCAGCAGGACCAGGCTCTATTGCAACAGCAGCAGCAGCAGCAGCAACAGCAGCAACAGCAGCAACAAGCTCTGTTGCAACAGCAGCAAGCTCTGCAGCAACAACAGCAACAGGATCAACTGGTGAGTGAAGGAATATTTACATAAGGTTTGGGCTTGGCTCTTGCTTTACTATACTCCTCAAATAGATTTCAGAATGAAGATCTAGATATATAGTTACATATCTATATCTCTAGTCTATACTGACATAAAAAAACTCTCTATATTAATGCTGGACTTAGCTTAGCTGCTGTGACTTTATAATTTCCAACTTGTATATAATTGAAGTTGACAAATCTCAGGGGAATATCTCCTTATTTTATAATTCCTACTATATATACTATATGTATAAAATATATATACTATATGTATATCATATATATACTATATGTATATAATATATATACTATATGTATATATAACAATATATATAATTTTCCTACTAAATTATTAAGATTTCATTGTTTAGTAATATTGTTTTCTTTAGGGTACAAAAACTCTTTGAGTGTTTTTATAATTTTAGTTAAGAATTTGAGTATATATGTATATATATATTTGAGCAGTCGATCTAGCCATATCTATGCTCTTTGTTTGCCTCTTTAAAAAAAAAATGAAAAAGGAAACAAATTAGTCAATGGTTTTGGGGGAATTAAAAAAGAAAATTGTTGTTGGGAAAAGTTGTGTAGCTATTGGTATTGTTGTTATTCTTAGCGTTGGTTTTTGTAGGTGTTGTTGTTGGTGTTGTTATTGGTGTTGTTGTTGGTGTTGATGTTGGTGTTTTTATTGTTGGCAATACCAAGGCCCTAATATTGATATTTGCAGTACAAAATCCAAAAACTGCTTCGTTTTTAGAACAATGGATCCAAAACACCTCAAAAAAAAAGCTTCGATTTTAAGCACATCAGAAAAAAAAAAACTTTGATGCATACTATTGTATTATTGTAACCTTTTATTTTACCAATTTATTAATAACTATAGTAAGCAGATTATACTTTTGCCTGAAAGTAAGTTTATATTAAGCAATGAATCTACAATATATTGCGTTCAGCCATAAAACATGCAATTTTGAAAGTATGGAGACACCTTAATAGGGGAATTTTCAAGGCTCTTTTCTGATCACTAGTCAGGACTCTAGGCACTACTGTTTTAAAGTAACATAATTCTAATGATTAATAATAATAAAAGCCCCACTAGTTCTTGGATATTTCTTTACACTAAAATCTTTAAAGTCGATCTTTCATGAATATTCAAGAGTTTCAGATACAAAACATTTAACAAGGTTCAATATTCATTGTGGTTTTATATGTTATCTGATTAGTTACACATAAATTTTACCATTTATGTCAGATCATGTACAGCCTAGAGCTTAGTTTTTGAATTAGTTCGTTTGATCGGCGCCTGCGTCCCATCGGCACCTGGGACATGGCTTCACCAATGCCCAGATTAAATCCTCCGGATATCCGCTGGCCCAGGATCTCGCCACTCTGCTCGTGTTTGAGTCCACCACCAGTCTCCGCCAGTTGTTGCAACTGACCCGCGGCCAGCATTATACCAGTGCCGATGTCCTGTATGTCAGAGGATTGGAATTAGGATCTATCACTATCTATCATAGTCTCTTACCTGTGGCCAAGGCAAGGAGGCACAACAGGTGGCCAAAAGGAGCAGGCAACCTAGGGTCAAAACAGACGAAGTCATCCTTTTAAGCCAACAAACTTAACTGTCTCTGACTGAGCTTTAAAACGGGCTTATAAGTTGGCCAGATGTGCATGTGACAAATCTGAGATATAATCTAGAGATTAACTTGTTTATTAGATCGCAGATCTGGTCCAGAATGACCGCTTGGCATGCAAACTCCATGCTAAGCTTATTAAAATTAATCTTATTCCCATTAATTTCAAATGAAATTCTATATACTTTTATCATTATATATTTTGGTTTTGTTTTTGAAATGAAAACAAACAAAGTTAGTGCGCCGAAAAGACCTCATTAGCCGCATTGGGATCGGTGGGTTCACTGAATAGGTTCTTCAACTCCTCGAAATAGTTCTTGAAGGAGTCCACCATTGACTGCCAGGCCTGGGTAATGTTCTGGCCAAATTCCCTTGCTGCGTCTCCAATGCGCTTGTCCAGCCTGGGATCATCTGGATAGACCAGATGAGGTCGCACATCGTCATACTCATTGGAGTAATCCATTTCGTAGTTGCCTTCAGCCCAGGCCAGGGACACCAGACCCAAAGTCAGGGCCACTACTATCCAGGCAGAGTTCCTGCTAATTCCGTTTCCGATTCTGGTAGACATTTGGCCAACTGATGTGGTCGCCAGTCTGGAACGAGGCTTTTGTACTGCAGTTTTCCAATCGGATGACAGATAAAAACCATGTCAAAAGACGCGGAAATGTTCATAGACATCATGTTTAGATGCATCTATTCAATCGGACCGGAAGTGTTAGTTGAGAGTGACTCTGCCGGATGTCAATCTCTGTTGTAATTACTATACTTGTATATATAATACATAATACATGTTTTCATAACAAAAAGAAATCATGAATACTCATTATACATATATATATATTATTTAATATCTTTAGGCCTGTTAAGGTCTTTTACCATTGTAATAAATCATTGTAATCATTGTAATGAATCATTGTAATGAACATTTGTTTGACTTTTAATTTAAGAATTTTATAGGGGTATCTTCTTGTTTATAAGTATTTCTCTACTAGTTTACTTATATATCATTAACTCTTTATAATTCTACTTGAAGGTTTGGCTTTCAATCATTTTGTTTTAATATAGAAACCTATTTTAATTCGAAATATATTTAAATTCCAAATTAAACTTATACAATTAGAAGCTGTGTTTTCCATCTTTCTGGCATTTGTTAAACAAATTAAATATGTTTATCAATCAAACTTCTGTATGCTTCCAATATATGTATGTTTATAAATCTTTACCTTCTTTTAAAGGGATATATTTTTTGGTATATATTTTAAATGAATCTTTTTCTGTTTAAAAGAAATGGTAATGGTAAAATAAATTATATATTAATCAATATATTATTATAATATATTCAATGATGTCCACTTATTTTCCCCTTATTTGAAAACATATGCATAGCTTCAATTGCCATTCCGGTATCCAAAAGCACACTAATTTATTGCACTTAAAATACAAAAAAAAAGGTATATAAAAATATATATGTATATAGTTGAATGATCCTCAACCCGTTGCACTGTTGGCCGCTTCGGAAATCTTCTGCCGCGTCTGTTGCACCAAATCCGTCACATTGTCCACGAAGGAGAGCCACATGACCTTGATGCGATCCCCTAAGCCGACTCCTGCCTCCGAACCCATTCCTCCAACCGGACTCGGGACAGATGCCGCCTGGCGACGTCGTCGTCGCTGTAGCTTCTTCTTGCCACTCGTCTTGGGACTGACGCGGGAACGGGAGGCATTATTGGCGGCCCGCTTGCGTGCCGCTCGCCTGCGACGTGCCTCCACATCATCGTCGCCGGTTGCCGGTGTGGTGGCCATGCTGGACATCTTCCAGAAGCACGGAGCTCGCTTGGAGCGATGCAGCAGGCTGTGCAGGCTCCGGCGGCGGCGACGGCGACGACGACGACGACGTCGATCCTCCTCTTCAGAGGAATCCGATCCCGGGAACGGTCGCATGGCGTCACCATAACCCACCGATGTCTTGGAGCGCACCGACATCAGGGGGTTATCTATTTCCATGTCGCGACTCAAGGCGGCGCCGCTCTGAACGACATCTGCGATATTCCCGGCCAGACTCATGGCGCCCAGACTGAGGCTATCGAAGGGACTCTGAGGCCGGGCCATGATCCCGGCCAGAGCCAGCAGAGCCAGCAACAGTCCCAGCAATGCTCCCATCATACCCACAAACGACTGTTTGGAGGCAACAGAGCAATCCGAACCCCTTTTTAAAAGCCACATCGCGTGATGATGCCAAAACAAACCAGATCTGTATCGATATCGGAACCGAGATGGAGATGGAGCCAGAGGCCAGTTAGTAGCGGGTTTCCGGTTTCAATTTCCTCTATATTTACCTATCATTGTCATAGCAGCTATATGATATAGTCATTCAAACCGATCCCTAATGAGAATAGTTAGAACACTATCTGCAAAGTTTCATTTAGATAGTTTTAAATTAGAAAGACTAGCTTGCATAGAAACTTACGCAGGCTAGATCGAATTGTCTGTTGATGCTGATCAAAAACATATGTACACACCTTTACTTTTTTGTGATACCATGCAATGAAATTAAAGTTAATTAATTGTACTATACTATATACATGAAAATCATACATTTTGAATTTTACACTCATTAAATTTCAATTACACTAAATCTACAATTACCTTCACTATCTTATCCCATCTCTACGATCAGTACAATTTACCATTTATACTTTGTAATTATTATTGCTAATGTCGTGAAATTTATAATTAAAATATATTAATATATACATTTCCTGTTTGCTTTGCAGTACAACCAGTACCGACTTACCAGACTTCGTGGCGGCGGCAAGCAGCAGCTGAACCTGCAACAGCAGCAGCAGCAACAACAACAGCTGCTGCAGCAGCAACAGGCACTTCTGGCCCAGTCAAACTTCGGAAGTCTGGGCGGAACTGGAGCCGCTTCCGTTTCCGGTGCCGGAGTGACCAGCTATGCGGACCAGATGCAAGCCGCCTTCCTTGACTACCAGCGTCAACGAGTAGAGTTTGAGCAGCAGCAACAGCAACAGCAGCAGCAGCAGCAGCAGCAGCAGTTGCTGCAAAAGTTCTACAATTACTATCCCGATGTCTCTGGTGCTCAGCAGCAACAGCAACCAGCAGAGGGTCTCCAGGGTGCCAATGGCTTTGTCTACCAACGTCCACAGTTCCTGCAGGCTGGAGGATCAACCGGATCAGCTGGAGGATTCGGACCGCAACGCGCTGTAGGAGCTAGTGAATACTTTTCCACACAACAGCAGCAGGAATTGCTCCGTGACCAGCAGCAGCAGCAACAGTTTGGTGCCACCAGTCAGACGGTGTCCACCACTCCCCAGAGCCTTAACATGGCAGTGCCCAGTGCTCCCACCTTCCAACCCTCATCGGATGTCTCCCACGTGAGCTTCTCAAGTGGCAATCTCAAGTATAACTTCTAATGTGGATGTGGCCAGCATTTATCCCTAGGATTTTGTGTACTTTTGGAGCTCTATGACTTTATTTAGTATTACTTTTTTTTTTTTTTTTTTTTGTTTAAATTGTTTGTGGTATAAGATGATGAATGCAGCAATAAATTGTGTAAGCGATATTTCAAGAAATAGTGATTTATTTAAATCTATTTAAGAAATCAACAGTGGGTAGTATTTACAAAGGGAGGGAGCTATAAACCAAAATCCATAAATGTTGCAGCAATTAATTATGATGTTGTTGCAACAATCTCTAAGTCTCTTGTTATTGCAATCTCAAGAAAGCAACGTCGAACCAGGAATTGCCACTTCCAAAAACGTAAAGAAAAGAGTACCAAGAGTTACATTTTAGGTAAGAAGTGTAACTGTGCTATTTACACCATCATCCTTAAATTGGAATTAATTCTTTCAAAACTAAGTTTGCGTTCGGTATCATTCAATACTCTGGCATAAATTTTTAGTTACTTATTTATTTATTTCTTTTGTATTTCTCTCTCATTCACTTAATATCCTTATGTTGCTTTCAGCAAATCCGTCTGGCCATTGAATCTATTTAAAGTCCTTAATCTATAATCTCTAAGCTTTTGCCAATCCCACCTTCAGCTACCAGCTCATAGATCCACAGTAGCAATAATTTTCGGTTGTGGGTGTTTTAATACATATCCATGGAAATGCATGAGCGTAGCCCGAGAACCCCCTAGAGGGGATCATGGAACCCAGGACATGCTCCGTGCAAAACCCCTTTGAATAAATGAAAGTAAATGGAAACAATCGCCTTGGCGACTCAAACAGATCCCAGAATGGGATTAGGTTGGAGTACACAACGTACCCCGTTTGCAAACACAAATATATCGAATCTTTTATAAGGTCATTCGCCTCGTGTACACTGAGAGGAATTAACAAATCGAAACCATTTTAAAACAGAAAAGTAACTCATCTTTGGAAACCCCAAAGTTTGTATATCCCTGCATATGTGCAAATGGATCATGGACTCGAATTGGAAGTCTTTTGTTATAAAGCCAAAATTGCATTACATTTATTTCAAAAGAATTTTTTGAGTTAGGTTTTTTGATTCCTCAACTGGAATGTTAATGTTATTATTTTTCTTTACGAACAAGTCTAGAATGTGGTTATAATTCGTATTCATATGTTGATTTTGTTGCTTATTTCTTAACTTTATAATTTTTGTATAGTTTGTTTCTTGTTGAAACTGAGTCCCCTGATCGCGTAATTGAAAATGCTGGGAAAACAAATTATCCCTCGAAGTTACCATTTTCCACTAACTACTAGCTGGAATACGAAAAGGCACTGGATTCACTGTTTTGTAAATTTTATTTGATATGTTAAAAAAAGTGGGATTGCCTGAAAAGACTATGCATATCTTATTTAAATAATATTCACCCGAAACAAGAATCAAAGAAAATATCAGGCATACAACAACCGGAAACAAAAGAATTCGAAAATTTAAATAAGTATGTATAAGAAGTTTTAAATGAAGTAAGTCCATTACCATTTCTATTTATGAGATTGAGGATTATCTATATGTGTTTGAGAATGGAATCCCTTTTTTTGTTCTAAAATGATCCATATACTTTTGATTTTCTAACTTATTTAAGGTGATTAATAGCTCTTTTTAAAGGGTTATATTTAAGTATTTCTTGAGATATATCAGCATAGTATGTCACTGCAATATATGAATATGTACATTCAAGCAGAAAGGTTAAGAATTAATTGGGGCTTAGCCTTAATCTATGTAATTTAAAGCTTAAATACAGGATATGGTTACAAGTTTAGTTTAAAAACAGGATATATTGATAATGTTGAAGTAGATTCATGAGTTTGTCCTTGTGGCAGGGACTCTATTGGAAATCTAAGTGACCACAGAGAGGCCTTGCAACAAATGCAAGCATTATTTAGAAAACCCTTAAGCTCCAATCTCTATTAACCCCAAAATGTAGCCAAATCCAAAGGTCTCAGATCGCAGCAGACTTTGGAAAAAACTTATGGAATGACAGGTGTCAACGGGGCTGTAGGAAGTGAGGTCAGATTTCTCAGTCAGTCTTACCTGTTCGGTTGGGCATAGCACTTTGGTTCATTTTACTTCGTTTCGGTTCTCGGACTTTGATTTCGAATTGAAACAAAAAATTTTAAATTAAATTCAATTTGAAAATTCAGTTTTGCTCTACCAAATATAAAATATAAATATCACTTTCGGACCAGTTTATTGCCGTTCCATTGTTTACATCGTTCAAGTTTCCGTCCTATAACGTCAACCAGCAAAAGTCACTTCGTGGTATCACTTTGTGGTCTAATTAATCCTAAAGGCAGCGGAAAATGAGGGGCAACAAAGGTCGAAGGAATCATGTCAGTCGATCGGTAAGATTTCGAGGGGTTTCTTTTGGTTATAAACCAAGGATTTTGGTTATAAAAGTCCGAAGGTAGCTACAGTGAGAGCTTAAAAAGCTATATAATCCTTGGTTTTCTATAGTTTTTCTTTTCGTGTGGGTTTATATTTTGTGGAATCCTTTTAAAAATAACTTTAAATTAAAGGCCTACTATGATAAGGTACAGGATAAACCATTATAATACATTCTATAAGTTCTATAATCACATGCACAGAGCTTGTTTGGAAAGTAACCACTTCGATGGTTAAAACTACCATCTTTTCAGAGTTATTTAATAATATACTATAAGTAATATATTTATTTATGCTTTGCAGTATCATCCCTACCGACTTTCGCCACCGCAAGGCTTAGCCAGGATAAAGTCCGACCATTTGATACCCGCTCTCCAGGAGCAGAATCGGATGCAGCAGGAGCAGCAGGCCCGTCTGGCTTCCCAGTCTGGCTTCGGAGGTCCACCAGGAGCTGGAGCCGGTTCCCCTGCTGTGGATGGTGCTCTGATGAATATGCCCAGTTATGCGGATCAAATGCAAGCCGCCTTCCTTGACTATCAGCGCCAGAGGGCAGAGTTTGAGCAGCAGCAACATCAGCTGCTCCAGAAGCTCTATCACAACCATCCCGATGTCTCCGGGGCTACTCCACCTATCCAAGATCAACTCCAAGGACTGCAGCAGCAGATGCAGCAACCAGCAAAGAGTCCCCAGCGTACCAATGGCTTCCATTTCCAACGTTATCAGTACGGAAACAATGGCCTGCAGCCGACAGGATCAGGCAGACCAACTGCAAGAGCCGGCTCAAATCTTGTTTTGGGGGCAGGTGACTTCTATTCGACACAACAGCACATGGGATTCATGCAGCAGCAGCACCAGGATGTGCTCCGGGAGCAGCAACAGTTGGTGGCACAACAATTTGCCACCAGCCAGATTGCACCCACCACCCGCCAGACCTTTGGCATGGCGGTGCCCATGTCCTCCGTGCTCAGTACTCCCTCGTTCCCGACCACTTCCGACAGTTCTCACCTGGGTTTCCCAAGCGGCGATCTGAGTCCCGGCTTCTAGGAAACATAACCATAGATGTCTCAAGCATTTATCCCTGATATATTTTCATAACATTTGAGTTCTACGATTTTATATAGTTGTATTATTTTGTTGCGGAAAATTATTTGTGACATGCTAAGAAGATGTGTAGGACGGCAATAAATTGTTTGAGCGATAATTGAAGGATTTTTAATTTTGGGTTTCAAGGCGGGTAATTTAACTATCAAAATCATTTGCATGAACTATTTATTAACAGTATATATATATAAATATTTTTCATATTTTCTTTTATTTTTATCATATATTATATTTTGTATAACGATCATTATGTGCTTCACTCGACACTCAGAATTTGTTGCTGCAAAATCGAGAGTGTGGAAGGTTTGCAGCTCTCAAAAACAAGGAAAGAGCACCAGGAACTATAAACTTTAATTTCTAGATCGAAATCTAAAACAACTTAAACAGATTTAAATTAAACTCTAAACTTTAACAAGGAAATTCCATAATTCTTTATGAATAAATGCTGTTTCGCTATTGTTAAGCTCTTAAAATAGTTACCTACAGTAAGATCCTTAATTATTATAGTTATCTATTTATTTCAATGCTTCAAATTACTGTATATAGATCTAGATCTAGAAAAACTTTAAACGGATTCAAATTAAACTTTAAGCTTTAACAAGGAAATTGCATAATTCTTGATAAATAAATGCTGACATATTATTTTGCTATTGCTTAGCTCTTAAAATATGTTAATTACCAACAGTTTGATCTTTGATTATAATAATTATTTATTCATTTTGATGCTTCATATAACTATATATAGATATATATCTAAATCAACTTTAAACGGATTCATTTTAACAAGGAAATAGCACAGTTCTTGATAAATGCAAACATATTGTTTCACTATTGCTCTTAAAATAGTTACCTACATTTTGATCCTTGATTATTATAATTGTTTATTAATTTCAACCTTTAAAATTGCAGCCTATGAAACCTTATTATATTTTCCTTATAATATAAAACAAAAGAGTAAAGAGAGAGGACTTCTTTGACCTATCCTTGGCAAGGACATTGGTGCAACGTCCATGTGCAACATTGTACAACATTCGTGCCAATGTAAACAGTAAGAGGAATCCGAGCCAAGACACAAGAATTGCATTAAGGCGGCAATGGACGACCCGCTGACTTAGCCCCATTTGGCAGGACATGAATGGCCAAACAAGGCATCATAAGGCTCCGTCCGGAAAATGGGGGAAAAACAATAAGTGTGGCCAAGAGGGCCAGCTGATTACAATCCGGATTCCGAGGGCGGGCATTCGAAACTAATTCAATTAGAGATGCGCTCGCCAATCATTCCTTTAGAGGCCCGTTCATATTAATTGGAAAAACGGAGCTTCAGTCGAGGGAAATCGTGAGGAGATCCCATATCGACATATTTTGCATGGAAAATTCCAATTTAGTGACGACCAAACAAATACGCAGAAATGCAAACAAGACGAGAGGGTGGGAGCAAAGGAAATGGAAATGGGGAAAACTAGCCGAGAATGTGGGGGAAAGCAGAGTAAACACAGTTACTAAATAAGCCCACGTGGGTGTGCTCTGCGTGTATCCTTATCGAGAGTGTGCGTAGGACCACATCCTGTTCATTTCCCCCGAACAAAGACGCAGCAGCCGATGGAGAAAAAGGCAAACAATAAAGTCCCCTCAAGCTATGGAGAGAGTGTGAGGGAGTGGAGTTCCCTGGGGGCAGGGTTTTTCTGTTTGCTGTGCGTCAGTTTTGGCAGGACTAGTGTCCATCTGGCCACCTGTAGCCAGGATACTGCACCAGCAAACGGCATCAGACACTCTCTCTCAGTTTAGTTTCCTAATTAGCTGCATAATTAGGAAATAACTTTTCAGCCAAAGTGCCAAACTGATGACAGTCGTCGAGTGTCTCGTGCTCCTGCTGGTTTTCGTCCTCGAAAAATGAGGTCCTGAAATCCGAGAGTCGGGTAATTTACAACTGCTCGAATGTGGACCACCAGACAAGTTATTAACGAGCGAAAGTTAAGTGAATAATTTGCGTTAGTCAAATGTCAACGACAGTAAACCATAAACAAAGTGAGAGGACACTGATCGAAGGTCCTTTCCAAAAAAACAAACAATTGACTTACCAACTTGGGTTAACCGAACCGAAATTGTATAAATTCACTGAAAATACAATCAATCGAAACTCATTTATTCCTTGATTAGGTATCACTAATTAGCAAAGTAACATGACGCAATTCTCGTGTCACCAAAAAAAAAAAATAAGGAAACATAAAATAACATTTTAATTAACGTTCTGGGAAGCCCGTGAAGGAGTGTTTATTTATACCTTGCATCCGCTTGCGTCACTGTTTATGAAACTGAGTGGTTATGGTCCCCCTTGGAGTTATCCTCGTTGAGAGAGTTATCCTTGTTGATGGCTCTTAAGGCCATACCGCTTCCCCGGGGTCATCACATCGCTCAAACTTTGGCCCCGGCTCAGCTAACAGACTTTGGCCAACTCTGACTTTCACTCTCGCCTCCCGTTGACTCGTTGACATTTTTGATGCCACACATTGCTGTGCTGTATTTTTGGAAAAAGTACCAAAATAAACGGGTTATCATCTATTTCGGGCCATGTGCTATGCCCAATGCCCAATGTGACGTAAATTGCTTTTCCGGGTCCTTGCCACTTTCACTTGCCATTTGGTGGGTCTCAATTCGTAGTATTTATGGTGCAACATATACTACAGTGCGAATCATTATTGGATGTGAAGATCATTTTACAGTTCATAAAAATAAGATTAAATATATTATATTAAATATACCAGCTATTTATGCGATTTAAGGTACGATCTAAGGACTACTTAGTAAATTGTCTGCATAAATCAAAATACAAAAGGATCACACAGGATCACATATCAAGTCCATTAAAGTCTTTATATAAGTAATAATATTGTATCGATATCATTTATAATCGATCTTTTAACGCAAACTCGGTATACTAATACTGTCTCGATATCTTATATAATCGATCTTTCAATGCTCAATCTGTATCCGCAATAAACCTGTATTATAAATATATATGTATAACCAATTGAACCGGAAAAAAGTCAAGTAAAATAAATATTATATATCGATAACATTGATTTTCCATGCAATAATTAATGGAAAAGTTTACAATGAATAATATGCATCTATTTATTTTGATAAACATCAGAAAATAAGTGCAGCAAAGTCCCTTAATTATGGATGACAGAAAATATGGATATATTGATACTGTATCAATATTTTATAAAATATATAAATCTATCTTTTTAGCGTTAACTGTACTTGTGTGAAAAATCGATCTTTAATTTATTATATTAAGCAAATTAAATTGGAAAATGAAAAAAAAAAAAGTAAATAATAACAACATCGATTAATTTATTTAATAATGCACATTTTTGTCATTTCAAAACTTTCAAAGTTAATGATAAACTTTATCGAACTTTTACCATCGATAAAAGTATTCAATTTACAACTCCTTTTTTTATCGATGATCGTGTCAGTTTTACTTGAGAATCCTTACCCTTAAAGTTTAAAATTCTTGTTAATATATATTCGACTATCCCTTTTTGAAGTCAAGAAGTAAAGTTTTTGTGTAGGCTTCTTTTGTTTGTTTCGGGAAAGATTATTCGAAAAAAAAAAACTATATATATATATATTATATATGATTACTATTATTTTTTATTTCAGCAAAATTCAAGCTCTCTCAGAGTTTCAAGAACCAACAATAACTTTACACCCATGAAACGCACTGTCTAGCCAGAGTTATGGGGTCGAGGAGGCGTGTCGCGTTATGCGCCATAAAGTATGCTGATCAAGTGATGCATGGCAAATAAATCTCAACGCTGCACCGTATCCATATCATATCATATATCATATGGCGTGACAGGGAGTCCTGTCCTGTACAGCATATATATACGTACCTCCCCCCCTTGTTGTTGTTATCCTGCATTTTCGGGTCAGTTATAACAATGAGTTTATTTTGTTCCAACATTTCCACATGCATTTCGTTTCAGTTTACAAAATAAGTTTAAATACAACGTAAATTCAACCGCGATAAAAAAAAATGAAGTGACACACACTCGGTTTTGAGTTTATGGGGTTTGGTCTGGTGTTAGGTTTAGGCCACATGATGATATGGTGGCATTGCGCCAGGTGTGGTCTGGTCTGGGTGTGGGTCTGGGTCTGGGTCTGGTTCTGGTTCTGGTTCTGGTGTTGGTTCCCACACAGGTCACAGTTCAGCTCCTGGTGCAGTTAACAAATTGAGTTTTAATTAAGGCGAGCAGAGCCACCGACACGCTCTGGGTATTATTGCTCCTATTTAGTAGTAGTGGAGCTTGGTAGCTCAGCCAACCCGGACACCCATCCCAGTTCCAGTTCCAGTGCCTGTCCCCTTCCCATTATGGCTTCTAGTAGCCATAGTGAATGCCATGGCCAGAGACCGATGTGTGTACCAGGGCGGGTGCGGCAACGGCGGCCCTGCAAAAGCGATGAGGTGGAGGTGAAGGTGGTGGCGATTAGGGGCGGCTTGTTAATAAGGTCCTGAACCTGGACCAGGACCAGGACCTGCTACTCACTTCACCACGGGAGCGGCCAGGTGCGTGGCATATGCGGGGGCGGCGTAGGCGGGAGCAGCATAGGCGGGGGCGGCCAGCCCGATGCCGTGTCCAATGATTCCGGGAGCTGTGGAACGCACAGAAGTTAGCTGGTATTTTTTCTCTATGCAAAATACAAAAAAAAGCGGGCCAGGAGAGACCTAAAGAGACGACAGATGGACAGAGACAGATTGGAGCTATGGAGCTACCCCAAATTAGCATCGTATCCCATTGTTTGGACAATACTCTCCTCCTCACTTAAAGGTTGTCAACGGCAACCACCTGACAAGGTGCCCGTGGCATCCATCGAGGTAGGTTGGGAGACTGGCCAAAACAACACTTGACTTTAAAGCGGCATAAAGCCTATTAACTGGAAATTCTGTTTACCAATTACAGAACTAGCTAAAGTTGCAGGCTTTAATTACCTTTTTGGACTGGTTATGTTTATATATTTGTCAAGTTCTTATAAAGTGTCGGTAAAATGTATAGAATATTCCTTATAGAGAGAGTGTCACTGCTTTTCAAAGTTGGAGGAATATAAATAACAGGAAACCTCCTTGGCGTATACGTAATATGGTCTCAAAATATCAAGTATACGCCATGTTAACTCTGCAATAAAACAAAACCTGCCTATATAGCTACTAAAATCAGAAAAAACTCACAAATTTAATAAAATTTACAACCTTTTCTGTTAGTGTTTTGGAAATAAAGGACAAAATCCCCGAGAGCGTCAGACCAACATCAATCAAGTGACACCCAAAAGTGAATGGGAACCGGTGACTCGACGATTCGATGATTGTGTGACTCACCGACGTTCTTGGTTCATGCAGTTTTTTGGCCAGCCTCCGATTTATAGAACAAACCTTGACCGGTGACCAGCATTCCATCTGCTTTAAAGCCACCGAATGGTACATATAGGGTACAGGGTATAGGCACATGACACTGGGTATGAATGATTGATTACATGCCGGTATCTCCACATGAACTCAACCTCCTTCTAGTATTAGTTATATCTATTTTCCGGCAAGACAAATCGATGGCAGACGAAACCCAAAACAAATTATAACTTTGGATGGGGTTCCATCTATCGATTGACTAAAATAAAAGGAAACATTTTTGGGGATCACAATGATCTCTCATTCCTAAACCCTTGATCTCTGGGTTAGTTTGTCATTAAAATTGTAGGAATTTTACAACTCTCTGGTTTTATTTAAAAGAAATCTATAAAATATAGAACCCTGATCTCTCATTCCTGATCCCTTGACTCTTGGGTTAGTTTGTTTTTAAAATTGTAGGAACAACTCGGATGTTTTTTTTTAAGATTTCTATAAATTATGAAACCCAGATCTCTGATTCATTAAAATTATAGGAATTTTACAACTCTCTGGTTTTTATCTAAAAGATCTCTATAAAATATAGAACCCCGTTTTCTTGGTATCCCATATCTTAGTTTCTAACCTGATGAAGCGAAACCGAAAGCACGAAATAAAGTTTGTTTTTGCCAAGTTCACTTGGCCAGCGAAATCACAATAAAGTTTCTACCCGGAAAGACTGTGAAAAATTAGTTGAAAATCGCTGAGGGAAATACAAAGACATACAGAGGGGGGAATATAAAAAGAGAAAAGCGTGCGGAGAGTGCGGTTAGTACTTAGGGGATTAAGCGGAGAAGAGTCCGGATGAGGAGGAAATCCGTACACCGGTCACCTACCGTAGGCCGGAGCGGCAGTGTACTTCACAACGGGAGCCGGAGCTGGAGCGGCGGCAATTTGGTATCCATGCGAGATCTGGGCAGGAGCAGCAGCATAGGAGCTATAGCCACCATGGAGATAGCCTCCATAGCCACCATAGCCGCCCAGTCCCAGGTGTCCCACGCTGTGTCCCAGTCCACCACCCAGATGTCCCACACTGTGTCCCAGTCCGGAGATCTGGAGAGCAGGTGCCGTGGCCGCATAGTGTCCTCCATAGACAGGGGCGTGGGCATGACTGGCATAGGCCAAGCCCTGGACTTGGATCTGGGCAGGAGCTGTGTGACCCAATCCAAGGGAGTAGGCAGGAGCAGCAGCGATGGCATGAGCCGGAGCAGCTTTTTTTTTGGTTTTTTAGTTTTTGTTTCGGTTAAAATGTTAAAAATCATCTAAGCAGTGATGGCTGGCTACTAGGTAGTGTTTTTGTTTACTTGGTTTTTAGATGTTTTTATACTTAAGTTACTAAGAACTATATTTAAAGTCGGGCTAAGTCGGGTGAAGGAAAGGCAAATAATATCGAAATATCGAAACTGTATTCATATTTATGGCAAAGGTACTATAAAATAATAATTTTGTAAACAAAAACAAAAAAAATTAATAAATTCATATGAAAATTATATTTATATATAGTATCGTGATTTAAGAGTTCAAATTTATATTTTTCAATATTTGAAATTTCAATCTATCAAACTTTACTATATTTTCGTGGTAATATCAACCTCAATTTACTTTTTTTACATATTATATTGGACTACTTTACTCGATAAAGAGCCTTAACCGGAAGTCAGGGCTTGGGTAATCACTGCTTTCGAATTTTGATCTATCTATCTAATTAGTCATATATTTTTATGTCCATCTATCAATCTATCTATCTACATATATATATATATCTATCTATATCTATATATCTATTTATATATCTATCTGTATATATATCTACCTATATATCCATCTATATATCTATTTATCCATATATCTATCCGTGCATGTATCTATCTATAGACAAATATTTATTTAATTATCTGAGGACATTAATGTTTCTATTTCTTGGTTTTCCATTGTCTGGGCTGTCTTTCTTTTTTGTGGCAACCTATCCATATAGAATATACGATATATATTTACATATTTTAATGTATGATATGTATCTTATATATCTATACGATCTAGAAGGTAATGTAACCTAACCATCACTACGTGCAACTACAAATAAAAGTGGTGGCGTGAGTGACTGTGAGTGGCGTGAGCTTAGTGCTTGGGTGGTGCTTTAGGTGGTTTTGGTGGTGGTTTTGGTGGCTTGTATTTGGTATCTGGTATCCTGTAAAGGATCTCAGGTGCTATGGACTCACCTGCATAACCATGAGCGGCAACGGGAGCCAGACCGGCATCATTGCTGATACTCGATCGCTGGACATGGGACTGGGAGTGAGCTGTCTGCACTTGGCTGGCATAATCCGATTGCGAGGACTGTCCATAATGACCCTTCACCGTGTGCTCCTGTGTGCTGCCCACGGAGGCATGATCCACGCTGGGGGCACTGATCGAATAGGCGGCAGGACCACCGGGTTTGGCCTGAACGGCGATCGCCAGCAGAACCACACAGAGGAATACCTGAGAGAAAATAAAAAGGCAAAACCAGATGAAGCTGGATGCAAATGTACGGCACTTGGGCGTATCCTTAAGGCTGCAGGCGCACAAAACTTTTAATTAAGTTGGCAAAGTTCGTCCTTGAAGGGAAGCTGCGAAGATGTCTTATCGCTTAATCGAAAGACACACAAGGCTGTCCAGGTGAAAGTACTGTAAATCCTTAGACAAACAAACCATAAACTCTACCAGCAAACATGACCCAAGTTGTTGTTAAAAAAGGTAATTGTATAAGGAGGAAAGTTTTTAAGAAAGATACAAAAATAGCAAGCTTACTAGGAGGTATTAATAGAAAATTAATAAATAAAGTCCTTGAGCTTAACAGATGTTTTAGGAGAAGTGATTTATATAATCAACTCATTTAAAATTAATATGCTTTTCTCACTTTCATCTAACTAAAGTATAATATTGTTTTATGATTATGATGACATAATTTTAAGTTTTGACATGTTCAAGGACCTTCCCTAGGACCCTGACCTGAATTAGCTATCGTAATTAGCTGACCCGCTGCTCTTGTTCTCATTTGCTTTTGCCTTCGACAATAAATTTGAATTTAAATTTGAATTTTAAAGTCGAGATTGGAATGCACTTTCAGTTGGCCTTTGGCCGTTGGCTGAGAGAGCTCAGCCTTGCGGTTGGAACTTGGACTTGGAAGTGTTTTTGGGGGGCTTGAAACTGGCAGCTTGACAGGGCGTCCTGTTTGACGAGTGAAAGGATAACAAGTGCAGGCAGCCGCTTTGTTTGTGTATCCTTTTGGCCCCTGCGGGCTACTCTGTCCACGCACCTTGAATGCCATTATTTGGTAATGTTAACGTTATCCTTGTTTCGATTCACTTGTAAAAAAAGTTCAACTCCGTTGCGATTGGATTGCGTTTGTTAACTGCTTTGATTCGCCGTTCTTGGGGCCTATTTATACTACTGCAGCTCAGTGCGAATGTGGTGCAGTTTTGTGGCAACAGAAAAAACAGAGAAAAATAAAAGCAGAACGGGTTTTCCGACAGTTGGCAAAGCAGGCAGCATGCAGCAGCAGCAAAAAAAAATGAAAGAAAAGCTGAAAACCAAAAAACGCAGGCGCGCCACGCATCTCCCCCGTCCACCTGCTCCGCCCAAAGTTGATCGCCTTTCGAGTTAATCGAATCGTTCGAATCAAAGCTCTTCGATTGTTTAATTGGAAATTTGTCGGTACTTGTATCCCCCCCCAAATGTGGCAAGAGGAAGTGCCTCCCATTGGGCTCCCCATTGAGCTCTTAGGTTAAGTTTAAGCAGTAGTAATTGTTAATATTTATTAAAAATAAATCGTTATCCCCTAAATTATGTCATCAAGTTTGTATTAAAAATTTCTAATATCTTATTTTGTTCATGGAAAATATCTTAGTGAACAGCTATATCTTATTATAGAAACATTTTGGCATGTCATCAAGTTAGTATTACAAATTTCTAATATCTTATTTTGTTCATGGAAAATATCTTAGTGAACAGCTATATCTTATTATAGAAACATTTTGGCATTAAAAACTTGAATTCTAATTAAGAAATATATAGTTAATCGAGTCCTATGTTAGCTCTTAGTTTAGAAGTAATAGTTAGTTATAGATGAATACTAGAATAAATAAATAAGTATATATATATATAGAGCATTTGATATTTCCCAACTTAATTACAAATATATATGTTCTTATACTTTGTATATATATATATTTATTTATATTTACTTTTCATACCTTCAATATATATATATTCCATTTGAAGGTTTTTAGTTCCCTGAGACTTTAGACTTTTGATTATAGACTCAAACTCTGGTAATATCGATTCTCACACAATATCATTCACGTGGCTCTTGTCAAGTGCTTTTATTAATGGCCCCGATTTTCCATTTTGCCATTTTCCATTTTGCCATTTTCCGTTTTCCGTACACCGCACCCCGGGTGCGTGCATATTTTCCAGGCCCAGCCTGCACACATTTTTTTGGCTCGAACTGTATTTTTTCTTTTTTATTTTTAGTTTTTGTTTAGACAAAAAACTCTTTACGGTTTCTATGATACCCAGGAAATAGGTAGCTGTGGTTTAAAGAGGGAATATATATTTTAGATTATTCGAAACAGGAATAAAACTAAATTTTACTGAACTTACTTACGATTAAGTTAAATAATAAATGCTTGTAAAATAATCTACAGCATACGTTATGTTTAATTACCATACATAAAAATATTTTAATAAGGATTAAAAGGAATACATTTAATTTCCAATTCCAATAAAATTGATTATGTATATAGAGTTGCCTGAAAGTCTTACCTCTTTTACTTCTGCCAGTACTTATATTTCATTACCATTAATTTGGTTAAATAACATACAAATAAAATCTATATGAATCAACAAAAAAATTTAAAAAAAATCATTTTAAGTAAGAACTATATAACATCATAATATTTTTGAAGAGAGAAAGAGAGATTTGCTATTAAATTATTAAAATAAGATTTAAATTATATGTATACATAGTTGCTTTGTTTCTGACTAACGAACCACCTTAGAAATATCTTTTATATACAATAGAAGAGATCTGAAATGATGATTAAAGAACTAAATTGAAAAATAAATTTATATTTATAATGTACAGTTTCTAAACATAGGTGAACCATCATATAAATATTTTGTATATGAAGATATCTATGTAAATACAGCTCTAAATATTTCTTATTCAGTTACTGTGAATAATAGAATTACTATGGACAGGAGATAGTAGTAGTATTAAATTGTTATATTATTAGTATTATATAAATATCTTTTATAAAGAAAATAAATAGTATCTGTAAATATTTTTATGGAAAAATAAATTTCTTGTTTAATGAATTTTAATATAATATTGCCAGGCAACTCCACAATAGTTTTTATATGAAGATTTGTAAGATATATATAAAATATCTAAATATCTTTCATAATATATCTTTATCTTCTCAATAGATTTTATTTAATTACTTAAATAATATTTAATAATAATACAAGTGACATAGAGTTTTGTCGCTTTTTATAATAAAAATTCAATTATATTTGATATGCTTGAATATTTTTTTTAAATACATTGTTGTTAGTAAATAAAATATTACAAAATATTTACCTGGCGTCTTAGGAAGTATCTCTTGAACCGCATACCCAACTCTCTGTAGTCATAATTTGTTTTATTTTTTGCTGGTTCTCACGCAGTTGCCACGGAATGGGCGCGGAAATTGGGCAGCCAGATCGGATTGGATCGGAGAGTGGGAGCTGGGAGCAGGGAGCTCCAAGTGGAGCTGGGAGCATGGAACTCAGAGCTCGGAGCTCGGAGCTCGGAGCTCATAGCTGAGGACCTGAAGCTGGCCTGGCTAAGCGTTTCGAAAGGCAGCAGCAGAAAACAGAAGTGGGCCGCAGACTGGGAGGCCTTTTTGGAGCGACTGTGTGTGTGTGTGCTTGGTTTGCGATTTTTGATCCATGGCCCAAAGGCTGGTTAACAATTTTTTTGCTGTTGTTGTGGTTATTTTTTGTTTATGCGATTTATGCGCACTTTGTGCGTTGTCGTGACGAGGGACACCGCTGGCGTATCTCTTATGTAATGCCAGGCCCCATTCCCATTCCCATTCCCAATCCCACTCCCAAACCCAGCTGTACCCCTACTTACACACATAGATTTTGATTTCGGTTTTGGTTTTGATTTCGGTTTTGATTTCGATTTCGCAATCAAGGCAATGCTGTTGAAGGGGGAGGAAAAAGTGCAGTCAACCTTCGGAACAAAAGACGCACAATAGCGCAACGGGAGATCCTTGAAGGAGTTAAGGCAAAGGAGGAGCAGGAGGAGGTTGTCATTGTCCAAGTGAAGATGGCGCCACTACTTTTGACACTGCCAATTTCGGGGAAGCACACACAAATACATTCACAGAAAGATAAAGAAAGACACAGAAAGACATTTGAAGGCCCAAGGAGTACTGCAAGCGAGCACAAAGTGCACAGCAAATACAATTTAAGAATAATGTAAGTGAGTGACAAAAAATTATTTAGTATACAAAATAGTTAATACACTTATTAAATCTATAAATTATACATACATTCTATACAAAAAATATGCATTTTATATTATTATTAATCGGGAAAACGATAAATAAATCGATATTTTGCTTTGCTATTTACTAGATGTGTTAAATGTCTTTTTAACATCTTAAACTCATATAAAGGGAAGAGACAAGGTAATCAATAAAAATAACCTCTATGTTTTTCAAAAGCTTGGATATTTTTAATGGAATATTTTCCGATATTAAATATATCGATTTCTGATTTTAAATATGAACAATTTTACGATATTTTCGATATTAAACCGAGTGCTGTTAAAACCAAAAAACAGATGCTGCTTTAAGTTATCGAACAAATCTGTCTACGACTTTATCAAAAATGATCGAAAATCATACATAAATAGTAGTAAAACTCACTTAAAATAGCCTCTAATTCTTACTAATAAAAGAAAGACTAAGGAGAAGTTTAAATAGTTTTTGTATTTTTAAAGCCCTCCCTTATAATTGTTTATCATCCAAATTATTGGGTTTAGAACCGGATACATTTGTTTCAATATAATATATTGGACCTTTTTTTCTCGACTGTGGACTAAGTTAATTATTATTTGCTTGCTATATCTTCTATATAAGCAGCATACTTAAATTAAAGTAAATGTAAATTAAAGTAAATGGTATCAGGCGCATATTAATTTTTAAATTTTATTCGGTAGATATATCTTCTATATAAGCAGCATATTTTAATTCGCTTACACTTCAAAAAGAAGAGCTAAGTGAAGGTTATAATGTACCTTAAAGGAAAGTAAAAGCTTTTAAATATTATAATATAATAATAACTGCCTCTTAATTATCTCTCACTCCGAATGCATTTCCTTTTTTTTATTTTTTAAAGTGAAGTCAATTCCCCGCTACAATGGCAATCATCGATTGTCATTGTTGATGAGCTCGAAGTTCCCTGGACAACCACTGCTAAATGCAGACCCTCCCCCCTCCAGCATTGTCTTGTTGTGGTTGTTGTTAATGTTGTGCCATTGTGTAATGGCGTGATATTTCAATTACCCGCTCACCCCCCCGCGATAAATACTTACACAATGCCAGGCTAGCATTGCATTGCATCGCATCGCATCGCATCGCATGGCATTGCATCGCATCGCATCGCACAATCTGCAAGCTTTTTGTCTCCGACATTAATTTGTATAATTGCACAGCCAATACAGGACAAGCTGGCGGAGTGCAGCGAGCCATAGCGTCAGTCTGTCCAGTGTCCTTTTGGACCAAAGGACCAGCCCACTTGACCACCCAACCGAGGAACCACCAAGCTGGAAGCCCAAAGAGCATCCCCACTGCCATGTCACCCGTCACGATGTGGCATCCAGTCAGGCGCAGCATTTCACGTCTATGTGGGTCACAAAGGCGGCGGCAACAAAAGCGAAACAAATACGAAATGTTTCAATATCGAAAATGGTATATCCTCTAGGCAACCCCATATGAAAATGTCATAGGATATAGCCAGGTTCCCAAGGATACTAAGTACTGGGCTCTACAGTAACCTTTATAATTGAAGCTCATTTAGTTTTTGAAAACCTATAACAATACATAACAAAGAAGCAACCACTGATGATGCTTATGATATAAATACATACATTCAAATTAAATCATCAAATTAAAAATGGCTTTTTTTAAAGTACTAATTAAAGTATTTAATAGAATTTCTTAGCTTTTAATGCCTCATAACAGGATATTTCAAATTTAAGGGGTATCCTTGCAACTGACAACTTGAATCGCTTCTGCTCCT